AGGCGATGATGTTCGAAAAGTTCCGTTTTTAAGATGTTTCCCGTAGATATTGAAACCCAAACCAATTTGAAGAGCGTTATCGTGAAGCTTCAACAACTACAGCAGTCTTTTACTGTACCTGTTTTTTAATTATTTAGGCGGTTAGCCGATGCTAGTCTAGGCGGGCCAGTCTGTGAATCTAATTACAAACATCACGATACAAACCGAGAAAATTAAAAAACGGACATTACACAGTTACAACCATCTGTACATAGTTTAGTTTCCTTTAGTACTGTACCTACTTTCAGATTTTTGCAGATTTCTATCATTGTTATTACTATATTATTATCATCATCACCTTTTTCTTTATGGCAATACCTGGAAAATAGCAATACTCATAATACTGTAATGAACTAACTCATCGAAGTTCGAAGAGATCAACACGTTCTTAGACACAATTGCAAAATGGTCTTTAAGACTCGGTATCCGCTTGGTCATCCTTTCTTTGGACATTTGGGGCCGGTTATTTACACGAGGTCTAAACCAAACCGCGGTTTTATGCAGCCAGTGGGGCTCAGGGATTCTCTATAAAGGGTCGATTTAATTGAATACATGTCCCTCCACTATCAGCTTTCGGCTCTCTTGACACTGTTTACAAAAATAAATGTTCAGATAAAAATTACAGCTTAACTGAAGATGGCTCAGAACGCGGTTTTGTTAAACAGCGGCTAAACATTGATTGGATAACCAGCCAAGACAAGCTTTTTTCAAAGAATAAACAATACGAGCACTAAATGGAGAATCCAGGTATCTACCACTTGAGCATATTCCCCAATCCTATCTATAACATGCGCGGACTCCTGCCTTTCAGGAATAGAGGGTATCCGGCCCCACTGTTTAGAATCAATAATTCAGTATTATTTTGAAAGATCAGTTTTACTGAGTAAATATGAGAGGCGCAATATGCTAAAAAATAATTCTTCAGGTAGTTTTGGTGTTCCATGGCTTGTCCAGTACGACCAACAAGCGCACCAATAAGCGACCCGGTAGGCCCCTTGTCTGCTTTGTCGAATGAAGTCTTCGTTTTAGTTTTTCTTGAAAAAGGAGAGGGTCAAAGCATAGGATAGGCTGTCCTTCGCGTCATAAACTGGTTTTGCACGTCTCGCCATTTCCCTTGAAGTACGATCCATCTGCCTTGAGGTACGACACATTTCCCCGTACGACCCAGTTCCCTTGCAGCACGTTCCATCTGCCTTGAGGTGCGCTGCATTTCCATTTCGGTAATACAATTGATAGATAATCGCCTTGAAAGTGAGCTAAGATTAACTATGCTGGGCCCTTGATTACGTTTTTTTTCTTATCCGACTTTGGTTGCCTCTATCAAATGGATGAAAAATGTGATCACGGAGTTCTTTTGGTATATCCTATGTCAGGGGAATGTTCTATTTTATTCCACTGTTTCTTTTGTAGTCTTTAGTGCATCTACAATGTATTCTCGCCGACTTTGCGTCAGAAACAATAAAGTTCACGATCACTTAACTTTGCTTCTTTTCCGAGGTGGGAGGAAGTCTGGATACAGGCGAACCAGCTGCTTTGGCCTGGTCCCTTTTCAATGTCTTGAATAAGTTTCTCAGTCTGGGCAATAAAAGATGCTGAAGGAGTTAATCATGTTCTTGCTGCCGTTTGTCGTGGTAACGGCAGTTAAAAACAAATCAAAGTGACACTCTGGTGAACTCGTGGCTCTTTTTACCTAAGCCAATTATCCTGTGATTCCAGTAAAACAGGAATAGTGCTCCCTTGGTGACCCAAAGTTGGTCCGCCATCTTGAATAAGACGCATGCCCTTACCGAACTTTTGAGGCCTCGCTAACGCCACCAAATGTGCATATCAAATCTCCACATCACTCGTTGCTTCGCATATCCACGAGTTAAAATTAACAGGATCATAAAAGCTGGCATTTTGCAATTCACAATATATGTTCTTACTACGGTTAGCTCCTTCTTTGTTCGGAAAGTCATAATGACAAAAAGATCTAAAGGGGCCTGAGATTGTTTTCAAAACTACTGGTTCTCTATAGGGGACCTATTATTCATTGAACTGTATCCACACAGAGCTCCTCGGTAGTATAGTGGTGAGTATCCCCGCCTGTCACACGGAAGACCGGGGTTCGATTCCCCGCCGGGGAGATATTACTTATTTTTTACAGGTGATTAAAAGAATTCACATTTTTATCTGGTTCAAAACTCTTTGTGGTATTCACGGAAAAACCAATTTGAAATCTTTGCGATGCGCATGTGAAAACGGAAACAGAAACAACCCGACCAGTGTCGTTAGAGGAAGTAAATTTAATCAACTTATCTTGTCTTATTGTTTAGATTCTTCTCGAGATGATAGAGGGGGGTTGTCTTGGCTGTCGTCATTTTATGAGTTCGTCATTCTATAAGGCCTAGTACTTTTCAAATTCCAATCTTGTGAATTGCCAAACTCTAGCTGTATAGCAATGTATATCTTATTTTTCCTTCTGCTCGTAAAGATGACTGTATTCTTTGTTGTTTACTAACTCCCACTAACTTATCGGGTGCAGTTTGCAAAATTTTTTTTCGCCTAAAATAAAAAAGGCACCGATCAAAAGGAACCTGCAATATTGTTTCCAAAACTGCTGGTTCTCTAAGGCATCGATTATCAATTAATATTATCCACCTATCACCTCACAGAGGTCCTCGGTAGTATAGTGGTGAGTATCCCCGCCTGTCATGTGGGAGACCGGGGATCGATTCCCCGCCGGGGAGAAATTTTTTTACAGGAAAATAGAAAAATTCCCGTTTTCATCTGATTACAATATTTTTGTGGTATTCATGAAAAACGAATTTGAAATCTTTGTGAGCGCATATGAAAACGGAAACTGAAACAACCCGACCAGTGTCATCACATGGAGCAAATCTAATCAACTTTGTATTATTGCTCAGATCCTTCTCGAAATGATAGAGGGGGGATTGTCTAAGCTTTCGTATATCTGTATATCTTTTTATTCCTTCTGTTCGTAAAGATGACTGTATTCAATATAGTTTACCAACTCCCACTAACTTATTGGGTGCAATTTGCAAAATGTTTTTGCTAACAATAAAAAAGGCACCTCCATCTTGGACGGTAGGTGCCCCTGTTTTTACTTAATCGTTTTCGTGGCCTCTTGCGAAGTCAACTCTATTCTTCTCTCAATGACCTGCTTCAATAATCTGTCGCTGTGGAATTATTATTTTTGTTTTGTTTGAGGTGTCTGTGACATAGCTAACATCGCTTTGCGAATCTCGGTAAGTAATCCCGACGCAATTTACCTTGCAACCGGCGGGTGAAAATGTGCTCAACTGATGATTTTAGCATTTTGGTCTATCTCAGACTTAATGGCGTCTAAATAAAGAAATGTTTTTAGGAAAATAAAAGTGTAATGCAACTTTGATTTGTTTGATAGAATATGAATACTGAGCAGATTTGGAACTAAGGACATAATTGCAAACATATTATCTTTGTTCCTGCAAGGCTCGAACCTGTGACCTTCCACGTGTGAGGCGGACGTGATAACCATACACTACAGAAAGCTTAACTATGAAAAGTTATTAATCTCATCAAAGTGAAATAAATAGATAATCATCGATATAGAAAAACCTTTGAGAATCAGATTAAAGTGGCATATTAAAGATATTTCTCCAATAGGCACTGAACAATCACTGTTGGACAGCGGTGGTTTTCGTGTTGTGGTACGTGGGACGTACCTTAGCCCTAAACCCTGAACCTTATTAAAAGATCAAAACGTATCAACGTAATTGTTCTTTTTTCTCAAAATGAATAAGAGAGAAAGAGAAAAGACCCAACTGTGTCATTCAAGCTGATCTTTTGAGTGTATTTCACCAAATTTTAACATCGGCCAGATCTGAAAAAAGGGAGGGCATGAAAATAAGTTTAGGAAAAGAAACGTTTGGTCCAAACTAGGATCAGGCTTTGAAAAACTTGTTTGCAAGTCCCCACAAAGAATTCGTAGGTGTACGAATACCCCTGTTGTTGAAGATTAACAAGCCAATACATTTTGAAAAGTTATCATCAGATTAAATACAGACACCTAGATGAAATGGAAAGTCAGTAACAAATTATTCTTTTGTTCAGATGGCTTTATTGAAACAAAAGAGTATTCTCTAGTTCGTGTGAGGATCGAACTCACGACCTTGGCGTTATCAGCACCACGTTCTACCGACTGAGCTAACGGACCTTGCACACAAGAAATGGTAGATGGTAAACAATTGACAATCTGGATATCGATCCCGGCATCTTCCTAGTTGTGCAACAGCCCTACAATTCCTAAATTTAAGAACATAAGACGAGATACGCAGTGAACTCTGTGTTAAAACTCTTGTAAAGATTTCAAAAGGAGGACCTCTCATTAAACATCTCCCAAAGACAAGACAGCGCATGCATCACTATCAAACGCGATGCGCTAACAAACATACATTAACTAAATGCAGGACTGAAAGATTGCGCCGTAGTTTTTTCCGAAGTGCTAGTTTTACTTTCAACAATCAATAGATTTTTAGACCATCTACGTACATATATATTTTTAACTTGTAGTTGTTATTTTAATATAAAATCTATTGTAACCCAGTCCCTTATTGATTAACAGTATGTAATTCTTATAGTTGTACATTTGTAACCACATTGTAACTCAGATTAACTGCGATGATGGTGGAATTAAACTTCTATCATTATTCATAATTACGCCATATAAAGGCGTGCGATGTAAAATTTTCCCCTCGTATGTTTCTATTTTCTTAGAATCTTCCAAGACAGACCAATTCCGTGATGGGTCACTTGCCAAATGTTAAATATGAAAAAATTATTCAGAATGTAAGAGAATGCCTGGTACATGTGTAAATTTACATTAAAACTTTAAGTTAGATTTCCTCGTCTTTGTCGCTATCATCTGAGACAACCTCCTCGATAGAATCTTCACATCTGTTGCCATAGTCTAAAAGCTTTCACACATCGGTGCACTTCAAACCATTTTCTAGGCAACAGTAGGTAGGAAGTTGACAGGACCTTGCACATGAGCAGGACAGTAGCTCTAGCACGGCTGTAGGGGCTGGGTCAACGCTCATCCAGTCAATGGCAAAGTTATCGCCGCCTTCCCGCCAGCCAGAACCGCTGGGCGTGGGTGTCAAAGGGCAGCGTTGCAGACTTCGCTTCCAAATGACTGCTTGGAAGTTTTCTCGAGAAGCATGCTTGAGCAAGCAGTCAGCATGTGGTGGTAACTGAGTGGAGTCGATGTTACCCTTCTTGGCGCAGAATAACCTGTACCTCATCTCATTGATGTTATCAGTGCCTGGTTGAGAGCAGTAGAGCTTACATGTAAACTCTTGGAGGCTCTGAAATAGCTTATTCGAAAGAACCCATTCCATCCCTAGCTGCTTAAACAATTCCTCGTAGGACTTCTGCTGCTTGACAAGTCGTAGGGCTGTTATCTCTCCCCTTCCAGCGAATGCACTCACATTGTCACAACCAGTGAAACCATGCATGCCAATTAGGCATTTGCAAAGTTTTCCTCCTACGGCTCCCACCAAACTGGAGATACTAACATATCTAGTTCTTGTCTGCGTTCCACACTTGACATACATGGATGCCGGAATAAAGCACTTGCGCCAGGCAAAGTAAGAATACGTCTGTATCTTCTACATTGCCTGTCAACTTTATCCCGTATCTATCCCGTCTCCACTCCTTTACCACAAATCTGCGAAGGCCTTTTTATTCTTTGGATTCAAAAGGGATTTTCTCCACTGCTGCACTTTGTGTTCGGATTGAATGTTTCTAAATTCATCGCCAAATTCTGCTCCCCTCTTCTCTTTTTCTGCATTTTTGATGGAGGTTTCTTTGTATACATTAAATATAACATCTATTCTCCTTGAGTTAGACCATTAGTGCAGCGCTAAGCTTAGTAGAGAATCGGCCACCTCGGCAAACGTCTTGTGGTCTCCTTTGAGTCTCTGTACGAGGGCCAAAGCATATATTACACATGCTGATGATTGGGGGATCACGTCTGCGGCTGGAACATTTTATTGCAGTTCTTTTGCAAAAGCTATCTGTTTGTTTTTCTTCATGATGATCCATCAGCAGTGGATAACGCCCAGGGAAGGGGCCCCAGTGGATGACTTAGAACTTCCCTCATTTGAAGTTTTCTGATTTCAGCTATTAATATCATCTGGACGAATAGATTTCTATCAGCTTCCAGGATGATCTCTTTGGACGTTTTGTTCCGGACTTGCACCTTTTTGTTCAGCTCGGTAAATGTTTGCAGCTTTGCCTTGGTGATTGTGACGTGGAACTTGGTTTGAGGTGGCTGTTACTCCAGTTGCTTTACACGAAAGGTTTCGTATGCATTCTCTCCAGCAGCTTTAGCAGTAAACAAAAATTCGTTGTATCTTTGGAAGGGCCACTTTTCCAGTGGAGAGACAAACCAGATCTTGCTGCACATTGCTGAATGGGTCAAGCCAGTGACTTTGGAGCATTACTACCAGGGACTTAACATCCATCTCATATCTTACAATTCTGGTTTTCTGAAGATCGGTGTGCTGGCAAATTGATTTGTTCAAGTCTAACATGTCCTTTATCAGCTTCAGGAAGATACTGCGATATTCGGCAACCGGATAGTACTTGCTCACCGCTCCTGCTTTAAGGCTTAATTCTTTGGTGCCCCTTTCTGTCTGTGTGTCTTTATTTACATTTTCTTCGCATGTTTGGAACAACAGGAAATTTTCCAAAGGGGTTGTCCTCTCCTATCTGGACTGAACATCCTCCAGATTTTAGATATTTGAAAGCTTCTGGGTGTTCTTCTTCCAGGTGAGACATCTCAGAGACATATGCCGACGATTAACGAGCATAGTTAAGATTGTCATTTTTCTAATGGCTGACAGATGTAGCTCCCAATCTCCCTTTCTGGATTCTCTCAGAAAATTTAGAAGAATCTCTACCATGTAAATATAAGACATTCAGAAGCTAGACAGCTTCCCATTACTGCCACGAAGATAGTCCAGGTACTTTTCATAAAGCACAGTGAACTCTGCGAACCGTTGACTTGACATGACTGTATCGAATTCCCTCTGACATATATCATACTGGTTATTTATCCCCTTAAAACCTTTCACGTCTCAATAAGCAACCAAAATTCCAGCACAAATGAGTCCTACGTACCTGTCGAGGCAGCCGCCATCTTGGATTTACCCATGATGTAATGTGAATTACACTGTTGGTTCTTTTCTTGTTTGTCGTCTAATCCCTTTACAAATTTTTACTTCTGACTACTCCCGGGGAAAAAATACGAATTTTTTCCTCTTTTTTACTATCTAAAGATCTCATAAAACGATCGTGACCATATATTTAAGGGATTTTATTCTGAGCCTCGTTTCTATGCTGAAGCCATTTTTTTGCGAAATTTTAAATCGAAAAATCTCCATCAAAGCTACTCATCCACAAAAGTTATCATACAAATTGAAAAACACCTTAGGCAGTAGTATCACATGATGACACTTAGATTTTGTCCTTCGGTTTGGTACCGAAAAGTGGCCTGGCCCATGGACTAAAAGCTTCCCCGTTTACCTGAAATTCTCGAACCTCAAAGCTATTGTATATAGTCTCAGAGTATTAATTTACACATTTTATCTGATTATGATTTTTTTCTTTTTATTTGTCACTCATGAAAAATGAATTTGAAGCATTTTCCAGGAGATTTATTGTGCTATTTTTTTGTTCAGACCCGTCACAATTATTATGCATTTCCTGCTTGTCTTACGTCACCATTTTATTTTTGTGTCTCGCCTGTTGATCTAGTGGCACGATTCTCGCTTCGGGTGCGAGAGGTCCCGACTTCGAATCCCGGACAGGCCCCTATTGCCCATGATTGTATACAAGTTATTGCTAAAGGTGTAGGAGAGAATATCTAGAACGACGACTCCAAAAATTTCTTATCCAATTACTTTTCTTTCAGCTTGTTTTAAATCACCCTCAATTAATTCAATTTTCAATAGCGACGATAAATACTTATATAAATGTTCTGAGTTGTTTCTTGGTACGCACAGATACCAATTTTCTAAATTTTTAAAGAACATCAGCCAAAGTTCCGATTTTGTCTTGAGATATTTTCATAGAATCGAATATTCATACAGGTTTTTACCGTCGCCATAGAAAATTAAATTAATTGAATGTGCCTTAAGACAATTGTTGGAAAAATTTAATTGGTGGTCTGAGTTCGAAGAGAACAACGACAGCAACGAACAACTACACGTTCTTCGATACAATTTCAAAATGGCCTTTATTCTCCTCATCAATTCTTGAGCAAGTTAATTAATAACGATACACGCGAGTTATAAAAGTAGCGTAAGCCTCGGTATCCGCTTGGTCATCCTTTCCTTGGACATTTGGGTCGGTTATTTACACGAGCTCTAACCCAAACCGCGGTTTTACGCAATAAATAGGCCTTGGGGATTCTCTATTGGAGGGTTGATTTAATTGCGTAAATGTCCCTCCACCATTAGCTTTTGACCCTTTTGACACAAAAACTAATGTTCAGATACAAAGTTCGCCTGAGGTGAAGATGGCGTAGAACGCGGTTTTGTTAAAGAGTGGCTAAACTTTGTTTAAATAACCAGATGTTGAAGCTTACAAAAGAGATTCATAGTCAACACTTTACAAGTTTGTTCCAAGGAATAAACAAAAGAATACCGGTACCTCCCGCATACAAAGCAAGCGCTCTACCATTTTAGCTAATTCCCCAATCCAATAATCAATAATTCAGTATTATCTTGACAGATCAGTTTTATTGAGTAAATATGAGAGACGTAATATGATAAAAAATAATTCTTCAGTCGGCAAAGCGTGATGCAGATAACGAGATGGTTAGTACGATCAAACACACGCACCAACAACGGACCTAATAAGTCTTTGTCTGTTTTGTCTAGTGTACTGATTGTTGTAGTTTTTCTTAAAAAAGAGAGAGGGTCACCGTATTGGTTTTCGTTCGATAGGCTGTCCTTCGTGTGATAAAATAGCCTTGCACTTCTCCTTAGAGTTCTGATAGCCCGTGGCCGGCCATGAATGATCTCGGGCTGAAGGATGTCTAGCCAAGTCACTTGTCCGTATGGGTCGGTTTCCTGTAAACTGTTGTCCGCAGTGAGTTAAAACTTGAAATGTTAATAAAATATCTACAGGAACAGTGGTAAACCATGTGATTAACGGGTTGGGCAATTGGCTCAAATCGTTGAGCGCCCGCTTAGCATATGGGGGGTACCAGGATGGATGCCTGAATTCTCCATTTAGATTTTAGTATTTTTATCCTAAAATAGGATATTACTCTTTGTCACAATTAGTGTTCCCTACACATCAAGTGTTGACAATTTGTCGCCACAAATTTAAAACAAAAGCCTCCTGTGCAACCCAATGGAAGAAATAAGTAAATTAAAAAAAAAAAATACCATAAGCCTCAATAAACGCAGGGCAATTACTAGCGTCATTCAGAATAGCAAGTTATTCAAAAGAAGAATCAGAAAATTGGAATCAGAGCGAGTAAAAGATTAAAGATAGTCCAGTTAAAACTTTTGACTCAGCTCCTTGCCTTACACCGGCTCTTCAGCTTTGGATATAAACAACTCTAACTCATTTAAATCTCCGGGAAAAAGTAAAGCTAAAACGCAAAAAATTACCGCTAACAGCAATAATGGGCAAAGGTATGCGACGTCTTTAGGCTCAGTCAGCAGAGTGTGGTGCGTGAGTTCGACCCCTACACCAATTTTTTCCCTCATCTATGAAACTGTTTTTTTCCTTATATGTTATGAAATTCCATCAATATGTACCTCATCAGTTACACTTGACTACCAAAATTCTCCTAGTGCACAGTAGATAATTCCAAAAAAGTGGCCGTTGGCGTTTCTTTATTCTTCTGTGAAGTGAGAAGAAAAGTGGACAAAAACAAATTATATTCGTTCACAACCTGTCAAATCAACGATAACCGAATTGTTGAAGCTTTAAACTACACGCTGACATCAAACTTAACAGAAGATACATGGAAAGACAAAATGTTAATTGATCGTTATCCCAACTGTTAAGTATACCAGCCTTGTGAAATTGGTCATGAAGTGACCAACGTCGTGGCTATAATCAACCCGAAATCTTTTAAAAGTTAAGCATGACTAACTTGAGCGATGTAGTAAAAACCAGAAAACATATATCGTGAATATCATATTTTGCTTCGCTCCAAACAGGCTACTCTATTTGCAAGAAACAAAGCCAAAACTCTTTGTTCTTCGGATGAAATAGCTTCAAAGGAAGGACTAAGGCGCGGCATCAAGATAAATGCAAGAGATCAACGTCTTACACGGATGTTTGATATCCACTACTATCAAAGAAAATACAAATGAAGATTTTAACTTTTTCTCTGAAATAACTGCTTTTGCGAAATTACTGCATGTGGAATTTATTTCTTGCGTGTTCATATAGCAATTTTACGCGCACACGTTGTGGACCAATTCTTTTCATTTCGTTCTTGGTTTCTGTTGGGAGCACTGAACATCACTCGTGCGAATCCCGACAAATAATCACAAGAATGAGGTTGAAAATGGAAATAATAGTT